AGTGAGCCGAGATCATGCCATTGCACTCTAGCCTGGGCAACAAGAGCGAAACTCCGTCTCAAAAATAAAAAAATAAAAATAAATGAGAGAGACTAATACAGTTGGGAAAAAAAAGATTAGGCAGGACTTGGTGAGTGATTGAATGTTGGCTGGAAAGGAGGCAAGGACGATCCCAGCTCTAACCTGGGTGCATGGAGAGAAGGAGCAGGCCACTTTCCATACACCTACCTTGATATCCTCCTTGGTAAGCCGGGGCCAGGCCACCTTTTCCTTCCATTTCCTCACAAAGCAAGTAATAGAGCGGGAAGAGCGCTTATCCTGGGAGTCCTGCCAGATAGAGAGCCTCATTCTTAGGGTCTGGGGTTTAGAATTAATCTCCAGTTTCCCTGGGCAGCCCGGTTTCCATCCAGACCTTACTGTCCCATCTCACCCTTACCTTGGAGTTCACTTTGGCATAGAACTCAATCTCATTGTACAACTCCACTCCATCGTCATTCTTGCAGCTGAGGAGACAATGAAGCTGAGGAGATGCAGAATACTCTGTGTGGGGACATTAGGAGAAGAGGGAGGTTCCCGGCAAGCCAGGCCCTCAGAGGGGAGGGCCACTACCTGAACACAATGCGGTGATCCTCAATAAGCACGTGGACATCGGTGCTGTCCTCAACACAAAACTCCATGAACACATACTTGGGCCTGTCATACCACAGGGTCCGGGCGTGCTGCCTAAAGAGAAGTTGAGTTAGGGCTTCATAGGGGTGGGAGAGGGAAGACTGAGGGCATTTGGGAAAGATGGAAGCAGGAGACTACCCAGGGATGTTTGATGCCACAGTTTTTTCAAAGTGGAGCTAAATGAGACAGAAGGGGTGAAAGGGAAGGGAATGACAGGAGTGGGTGGGTGTGGTGAGTGTGAACCTGGGAAGAATAGAACTTGCCAGACTAGGAAAGTAGGAGGTCAGGGAGAACATTCAGGTCACACCTTCCTTCACCCCACAGTTACAGAGACCAGGGGTCTGGGGCTCCCATGGGGCCTCACAGAACCTGGAGCGCCCAGAAGACCTGGAGCAGGGAATCTCCAGGGAAAAGGGCCAGGGGGAGCACCGGAGCCGGAAACACTCACCGTGCCATTGCGGCTCCCGCTCCAGTGTGGCATTTAGAGTTCCAGGCAGGGGCCGCTATCTTTAGATCCTGGGGACGCCCCCAGCAGCTGCCTCCCCTTATATGGTCGGGAAAACAGTTGAGAGGAACAGAGAACATGACCTGGCAGCCAAGGGATCTGCACTCTGGAGATACTCTGGGAGAGCTTAATCCTTGCAGCCCTTCACCCTGGGGTCTTCAGAAACGCACAGACTAGGAATAGACAATCCATCTGCTGGAACCAGGGCAAAAGCTGCCCTAGACGCTACACGCAGGGAATGACTTTTCCCCGGTATCATTCACCTGTTTCTCCAAAGCTGTGTGCTCAGTGTCTGATTCACAATAGGTGCTCAATAAAACATTATTGTCCTGAATTAAATCCCCTGGGAAAGGGCACCCTCGGGGACTTCGGAACTTCAGGCTCCGCCCACCACTCCTCTGGGGTTCAGGCCAACACGCCGTTGCCATAGCAGCAGGGGGGGCGCGGCTGACGTGCTGCCGGGTTTCCGGGAAGATGGCGGCTGTCGAAGCGGCTGCAGAGCCGGTAACAATGGTGGCGGCTGTTGGGCCAAAAGCGAAAAACGAAGAGGAGGAGGAAGAGGAGCCGCTGCCACCGTGCGAGGCAGTGCGCTGGGCCCCGGTGGGGGCGGTGGCGGAGG